ACGGTTGCGCGTTCACAGATGAGCCGTGCAAACGCGATCGTGGGCACAGAGCGGGCACGGACACGGCTCGGGCTCTGTCCTGCACGTTTCCCCGTGTCCCCTGGCACGCTGGCATCCGCGGCCACACTCCTGGCATTCATATGCTTGACTTGCTTCCAAACCCACCCTGAATTCACGCAACATCTTCACCCCATCTCTCCTCCCGCCCGTGCCCTCCCCAACGCTGTCCCAATTTCCCTCAGCCCCAGAGGGGTGAGCACAGGGCACAGCAGCCCCTCAGGACCCCGGGAAGCCGTGGGACACGGGGACACAGACCTTCCGAGCCCTCCGGTGGGCTGAGGGACCTTCGGGAGTCGTCGAGGCGTGGTGGGCAGTGGTGGTGRTGGTCAGCAGCAGTGGTCAGCGACGGTGGACAGCTCCGCCGGCTCTCCCGGCCCAGGCTCAGCCGGGAGGCGAAGTACCGGGGCACCGGCGGCTGCGCGGCGTTAAATAAGGGGCTCTGCCCGTGGCACGGCGTGGGTGGGCGAGAGGAGAGCTGCCAATGGGGGCCGGGGGGAGGGTGGTACCCCCACCCCTGCAGCTTCACGCCCACGCTGGCACCCGTCGCACACGCCGAAGCACACAGMGCCACACGCGTGCCCACGCAGCCGCCCCGGGCTGGGGTCAGCACACGGGCGCTGTGCCCACGCAGCCCCCGGCCCCTCATTTGCGGGTCCCTCATTGTGGAGGAACGGTCCTGCTAGGTCTGCAGCCGGGATTTGGGGGGGTTTCACGGGGGTGAGGGGTCAGCCGGGCTCCCACCACTCACACGCCGYGCACACGCGTGTTCCTCTCTGCACACGCACACGCTCACACGTACCAGGATGTGCCAAAGTGGAAAACGGGGGAGGAAAATTTGGGGGAAAACAAAGAAAAAGGGAATGACCGGGCCGATAAGTGAAAGCCACCGATTCCATCGCAAGCAACAGGCGGYGGCGGCTGCTCCGGTGGCTGCGGCAGCCCCCTGGGAAAGCGGCCGGCAGCAGCAGCGGCGACTCACGTGGCAGCACAGCCCGGGGCAGGGCAGCATCTGCAGTGCCGGCAACGTTAATTAAATCGGAGCCCGGCCAGCGACTGTCTAATTAATTAATAACACCTACTTTGTGCGATGCCAAGCGCGACGCAGATGTGAAGAGCCGCCGTGCCCTGGGCTTGTTTACGGCTCTCGCCACTCGCCGGGGGAAGGTCCCGGTGCTGGGACGTGATGAAGCCCGCGGCGGAAAGCGGGGAGACCTCGGATTTTGGGGCACGGCCAGGCCGTCAAGTGCCCCCGCGCACACACACGTGCCCCCCAACGTGCGGGAGCTGCCCGCACTCACTCTTCGTGCACGACAAACAGCGCTCCGGGGCCCACCTGGGAGCTGGTGCTGATGGGGACGTGACGGGGAGTTGGCAGCTCCCGAAGGTAACGCGGGTGATGTGCGGGGACAGGATAAAAACCCGCTCTGAAGGCTTGATGAGTGCAGGAGGAGAAAGGCAGCAAAGGGAGGGGAGACCCCTGCAAAGGGAGCAATGGGGGCCTGGGGGTTGT